GAGAGAGAGAGAGAGAGAGAGAGAGAGAGAGAGAGAGAGAGAGAGAGACCTAATAAGAGGATGAACCGCGCCCCCGCAGTTCGGACGCGTGGCTCGGTCTGGGGGCCTGGGGCTGCGCGGTGAAACTTTCCTGCTTGTCTGTGCGTTTATGGGCGGGTTTAGCCGACGCCCTGCAGGTCGCTGTACGTGCGCCACTGCTGCGCCGGTGCAGAGGCCTCCTGCTCCCGCTCCCGGCGGGCGCAAAGGAAACCGTCTCGCTGGACCAAACTTTGCCAATAATGAGCCTCCCCCCGACAAGGTATACAACATCACGGCAGCGTTGGCCCCCTTCACTTTTGGCGGTAATCATAATTTGATGCGCGCTAGCGGCCGGCCCGCCGCGTTGGTGTAGCTCGGCATTGTGAAAGTCCATTAAAAAAAATATAGCAAGGCTGGGGAGGAGAGTCAGGGAAAAGGTTTCTTTAAATCTCATCCTATTTGTGATTTTATTTCTAAAAGTCGGTAAACTTGGTAATATTTACTAACTTTCACCCACCCCACGCAGCATTTGAGAAACTTCCCCGGTCGGCTTTCCCTGGGCCAGGCCAGGGGGCCAGGCAGGCAGCCGCTTGACCACGGCGGAGGGTGGGTGAATGCGTTTTAGAGCTCGCGTACAACGCGCTGAGGTGAAGAGGCATCGGCACCAGTGCAACAACCGTTTAAAGTGGTGCACCCAGTAAAACGTACCTTCGATTTCACGTCAAACATTGTTTCCGTTCCGAAGGTTGCCTTTGATGAAGCTGATTTCAGCTTTGGATTTGCAGCAATTTTCGACGTGAAATCAAAGGTTACACTGGTCAACTAAGTTGGCAACTGCTCAATTCTTGTAAGTGTGCAACTCCGTAATTGTACGCTTGCAAATAAGTGTTCCACTCGGTATGAGCATTTGCAAGTGTACACTGCTTGCAAGTATATTCAACTTGCAGTAGCACACTTACAAGTGTTGAGCACTTGCACACTTAGATTATCAAAGTACGTTTTTCTAGGTATGTGTACCCAATGTACTGTAAATGTTTCTGAAACATTCTTAAAAGCTTCGGGTTTCGGTAAAATATATGCGGGAAAGGTTGGAATAAAACGAGATAAAAATGAACCCCCATCGCGATTCGTTTGACAGTTTTCCTCGCGTTTTGCTGTCACATGACGTCTGCTGCCCACCAGAGAAGTCAAACAGAACGTTCGCTGCGGGGTCGAGCCGAGCCGAGACTCGAGATGTGTCTTTGACTTGGAATCCACGGCGAAGGATAATCAAATTCCCCCCCGCCTTCCCTTTCCTCCTCCCTCTCCACCCCCCTGCCGGCTCCTATTGAAACCAAAGTCCCGTGTCCGTAATAAGTTTGGCAGCCGTGATAGTTGTGATGGCGGCCGCGAAAAGTTTTTCTGATTCGGTCTTGGAAGGACAGAGACGAATGTGCCGCGCGCGCGCGTGCACGCACACACGCCCGCGCGCCCTAACACACGCACGCACAAACTCCAACACACACATAACCTTCGCAAGACGCGCGCAGGCCTATAGGCTTTCGCGTCTTTCGTGTCGTATATGTGGGGCAAATAGGCCTCCCAAGCAAATTCAGGGCGAAATTGTTGGAAACAAAATAACTGAGAGCAGCGCATCCCCCACCCCATTTTCCTCGCACGCGAGCACGCCGCCCATGGCTGGGCTCCCAAAATGACCAATCCTGGGGGCGATGTGCGGAGTGGGGTTTTGGCGGCCCCGAATGGTGCTTATAACTGGCACCCCCTCGGCCCGCGCAGGATGTGTGGCTCCCGGAGGGAGAGAGAGTAAGAGAGAGAGGGAGAGAGAGAGAGAGAGAGAGAGAGAGAGAGAGAGAGAGAGAGAGCGAGAAATGGGGGGAGGAGGGCAATGAGGAATGAGACGTTATATGTTGCATTGCACACTAGAATAAACTGTGAGGCCACACGACGTAGATTTGCCTTTGCCATTCATGAGAAATTGTCGGACGACGTCGTTTTAAGCCGTTTTAGATGTTGCATCGATCGGTCAGGGAGCGTTTCACCACGGGGTTTACATAGAAACTCGAAAAAGAATATTATTTCCTACAGCTACTTGCGTTTGACCTGGCCACCCCGAATTTAAATAGTTGAGTGGCAATCAAAGTTAGACCGATAAAAAATTCGTATTGACATCCAAGATATTTCCAGTCGCAGCGACTAATGTTTTGAAAGTGGATCGTCAGACACTGGTTTCATCCCCCCCCCCCCCCCAAAAAAAAAAACAAACGAAAAAAAGAAGAAGTACGGTCACGAAATTGACGAAACATAAGTTCTGACGACTGATTCTCGGTTGCGATGGCCGATTCCTTCTATATTTCCGGGGCAGTGTACGGCGTGCAGCACCCGGCGGTGACCCCGAGACGTCATCCCGTATGCATGTCCCCACTCTTTGCTCTCCACTCGAGCCGGCCGGGCGTCGGGACGCTCAAAAGAGGACACGAGACGGCCGCCGCGGCGGCGCACCGGCGGAGACTAGAGCACACACACACAGAAATGGGGAAAGGATAAGTTATTGTATTCATTTCCCGAGATCCAACAAAGACCCCCCCGCCGCCGCCGGAGAGCAAAGAACACCCCCCAAAAAAGAGGGGTGGGGTGAGTGGAAGTGGAACGGGTTGGAAAAAGAATCTGCCGCCGTATGCTTTGCTCCGGCCCCAGATCTGATCGCTGGGTCCAGATAGCCGGCCGGATTTAGCGCGGTGACGTGCCTTTCGTTACACGGGGGGCCGCCTGTTGCGCCACAGCGTCAGAACAGTTCATTAACGCGTCTCTCACTCTCTCTCTCTCTCTCTCTCTCTCTCTCTTTCTCTCCTCTCCGAATTGTTTTTTAATCGCAGCGGTGTGACCGGCCGCTCTGCTCAGCGCGTTCGTCTCGTCGCGTCGCTAATGAAAATTCTATGCATCAGATTGTATCCGGCCGCCGCCGTCCTCGAAGCAGCAATGTGATCACTGAGAGAATGGTCTCTGCGTGCCGGGAGATAATGCGAGAGGGACCGAAAGAAAAAAAAATTGTTGGAGAAAACCGGTAAACTGCTGAAGTTAGCTGTAAAAGTACGGTGTCACTCGCTTTATACGCACGAGTGTCAACGTCGTTGCGGAGGAGCGGTGATATTTTTACATCTTCAGCTTTTTTGCGAGGAAAAAAATGCGCTGCGTTTTGAGACGCCCGCGCTGCTCGGGTGTTGGTGTAATGTGTCTATTCGCTGCATCCTCCGCTTTTCTCGCACGTCCGTGGTGTGGCTTGGCGTGGTGGGGTGGGGCGGGGCGAGGCTGGGCGGGGCGGGGGTTGGCATCGGAGCGACCTATTTTCAAGCCGGTGCACCGCCCCGCGCGCCCCCAACCCCTGACCATGCTGGCGCTCGGCTAATCTCGGACGCTGGGAGTCAACTTGGAGAATGTCTGAACTCAGCTTAAGGGTGTCGGCGCGGCAGCGGTGCGGCCGGACCGAATAGTTGGGCGACTCTCAAAGAACTTGGGCGGGGCGAGGCGTGGCGGTGCGGGGCGGGGGGCGTGCATGGCGGCCGAGTGAGGTAGTTTGACAAACCGGGACGTGAAATAAAGCGTGACTACACTGAGCGTGACGCAGCGGTGCGTGCGTGCGTGGAGGGCGGTGGGGTCGTCGGCGCG